TGTATGTAGATGACATGTTGATATTTGGTACAAATATTCACGTGGTCAATGAAGCAAAAGCCATGTTGAAAGAGAGCTTTGAGGTGAAAGATCTGGGAGAATCAAAGTTTATGCTTGGAATCCAGATAACTAGAACAACAAATGGTTATTCTCTAGATCAATCTAGCTACATAGAGAAGATCTTGAAGAAATATAAATATTTCAACTGTAAACCTGCGTGTACTCCGTATGATGCTAGTGTAAAGCTATTTAAGAACAATGGAGACTGTGTAAGATAATCAGAATATGCTAGCATCATTGGAATATGCTAGTCTTCATTATGTTACGGATTACACTCAGCCAGACATTGTATATGTCGTGAGATTGCTTGGTAGGTTTAACAGCTGTCCTAGTAGAGAGCATTGGAATGCTATAGAGAGGGTCATGAGATACCTCAAGAGAACAACAAACTTTGGCATGCACTATCAAAGGTTTCCTGCTGTACTGGAAGTGTATAGTGATGCGGATTAGAATACCCTATCACATGACTTCAAGGCAACCAACGGGTATGCTTTTAACATCGCTGGTGGAGCTGTGTCTTGGAAGTCAAAGAAACAAACAATCCTAGCTCAATCAACTATGGAATCAGAGATGATAGCACTAGCAATGGCTAGTGAAAAAGCGAGTTGGTTGAGAAGATTGTTGTCAGAGATTCTCCTATGGGAAAGGCCGGTCCCTCCGGTATTGATCCATTGTGATAAGTACCGCAACTATCGCTAAAGTTGAGAACCGGTTCTATAACAGAAAGAAACGACAGATTCATCATAAGCACAGTACTGTAAGAGAACTCCTAACGATAGGAGCAGTGAGGGTGGATCATATAAGATCCGAACAGAATCTAGCTGATCCTTTGACGAAAGATTACCTATAGAGAAAGTCCAGAATACCGCCAAGGGTATGAGATTTATGCTTACCGAACCACGAACTACAAGTGATGGTAACCCGACCCAATAGACTGGAGATCCCAAGAAATGGGTTCAATGGGTAATAACAAGTCATGAGTAGTATGCGAAAAGTTCATGCATAGTGAAGCATGAATCCCAAAGCAATGGAGGTTGAGTTAATAACTCTTAATGAGATCTATACCCTATGTGGGGTGGAGTACTTTACTTTAGGAGTACTCCTGATAGACTCACCTATGTGAATGTGGGAGTGGGGCCGCTCCCTATGGAAATTTGGAGGCACAAAGTTGCTAGAGCATTCACTAAACCAGGATAACGTGCATGGCCATAAACGAACGGGCTAAGAAGAGAACACAACTCAATGAAAAGATCCAGTGTGCTATACTGTCTGAGATAGGGTTCAAGACTAAGAGTCACCCTTATGAAATCAGAAGTGTAACCACTACGCTAAGGTTCAAATCTTTGCGATACCTTAGCCTATGCCCGATCTTATGGAACTGTTGATGCTCAGAGATAGTTTCAAAACTATTCAAGTGGGGGTATTGTTGGAAATGAATGAATAGCTTTGAAAGCTATAGAGTCTCAAGGTGGAAAAACTACCACATTGGTAGTTTTACTTGGTGAAATGTGTATAAAGATAGGAGCCTCTCTCCTAAGGGCATGCCCCTTGGGGTGACCCACTTTTGTGGGAGAGGGAGGACCTAACGGACCACCACACACACGCGCACGCACGCCGGCCGGTCGATTGGTTCACTTGAGACTATATATTTTTTGGAGAAATTCCGAACGAAATTAATTATCTAATAATTAATTATTAATCGGGTATTCTAAGGAATATTCGAAGGATAATCGATTAAAAAGAATATTCGAAGGATAATCCCGCATGAATTAAATTACAGAAGGATTTTAATTAAGGAAGTAATTATCTTCCTTAATTAATCCGACTTATTCCCCAAGTAAGAGGGTATATTCCTAGGGGTTCGACTCCTATAAATAGCCGAATCCCCAGTCAATTTAAACACACCACAATACAAGCAGAAACACAATAGAGAGCGGTTCATAGAACTCCGGTTTTCGCACAAAACTGCGAGTATAGAGAGGAGCTGTTTTATCCTGGAGACGACTGGTTGATGTCTGCCGTGCGCATCGAGGGCGACCTAATCCGCGACTCAGCTCAGAATTCGGTAACCTCGTTCTTGTTGTTGTTCCGTTCCTAATACATTTATAATCTCATCTCAGATATTTGATAGGTTTGTCAGTAAAAGTGTCGACTTTCCTTTCTTGTAAGTGACAATTCATGTTGGATTGAAGAATCACATTAAATCAAGTCAGTAGATTGGATTGCCCCAGAGATGGTAAGAAGCTTGAATTTATGCACGAATCAAGGGGGAGCCAGTTGATTAATGACGACGATTTCTAAAGTTCAAATTGCAACGGCTACTCTAGCAGAATACTATATATATCTCGATTGTAAACCGTTGTAGGTACTATTTGTGGTACATGGCAAAGAGTTGGGTTAAGCAGTGGCTTTGATCTGAACTGTGATAGAGGATCAGTTGATCAAAGGTTGTAATGAATCCCTGCGCGGATTCGGGTCTCGAGTTGTACCTTTTGATTTTCCCAATTCCCTGTGTAGTCGTTTTTCTTTCATTGAGTCAAAGAAAATCAAAAGTGTCTCTCGGAATAGTGGGTACTATTTCGGGACGAGGAGTAACCCTGTGGTGAACCTCGTTAAAAATCTCGCTGTCTCTTTTATTTTTCTGCTCCCTTTCTCTGCTTCGTTTTTCCTTCCCCTGTTCTGGGGTTGCTCTGCTTCTGTTTACAGGTTGTGTCGAGGAAGAAGAAGAAGTTCTTTCCTTAGTCATTCTGCTGAGTTGGGCCAATCGTATAAAAACCTATGCTACACCTTCGTTATAGTCTGTGGGATTCTGTGTTAGTTGAGCCCAACTCTATTTAAGTTTGTTTAAATAAGGATTATTTCCATGGTTGGTCACTGAGATTACAAAAAACATTCAAGTTTGGTCACTCGAAATATTAAAATTTGTTGATGGTACTTCAGTTTACTGAAACCGTTCACGTTTGGTCACTCTCCGTCCAACTCCGTTAACTTTTGCTTACGTGGCGGTCAACTCTAAAAGTTGACTGTTAAATGTGTGACATGGCAATTTAAAAATAATAAAATTAAAATTTTCAATATTGACATCTCATTTCCACCTCATTATCACTTTTATTTAAAATAAATAAAAAAATCTAATTTCTTATAATGCCCAATACCAATATCCGCTGCACGCTGCCGCCGGCCCATTACTCTGCCATCCACTGCCACGATCTCTACGACGACGACGACCCATGGGAGATTTTTTGGCGCCTCCAGTTCTCCGGCGAGGAGTCCGCCGACGTCTACGCATTCACCGAGCTCAAGGAGGAGGCAAAATCTGACGGCGGCGTGAACAAGAGAGCGATTCGGAAGGTCGGGAGGAGCGGCGGGAACTGGCACGACGAGGGCATCGGGACCCTGTTCAAGCTAGTCTGCCGCGCTCGTTCTCCAATTGAGCACGACGAGCGGTGGATCGGGACGCGGAAGAGGTTCAGCTACCAAAACCCTAATCCCCAATTCCCCGGTAGAACGCCAAGTGGATCCTCCACCAGTTCAGCATGAGAAGAGACGACGCCCGCAACAGCGACGACGAGAGGGAAGTTATGTGTATGATCCGCAACAACGGGTCTCCAATGGGGAACGTGATTAAGGAGGCGGCGAGGCAGTCGGTTCTGATCGGGAGGAAGAGGAAGCTCAATGATTACATTAGGAAATTCTCCTCCTCCAGCGGAGGATCTGATGACGCTTCGACTTCTACTAATAGTAGCAGCAAAAGAGTGTGCTATTCCAATTCGGCCTCGAATCAATCACTGCAGCAGCAACATAAACAGGAACAAGAACCTCCCCTGACTTCTACAAAGTTCGATTGTTCGAATCAAGTGGCTCCCCTGCCTACGGTGGTGCTGCAACCACAGCAACTAGAAGGTTCACAACCAGTCCAAGAAGAAAATTTGGATGAATTGGATGTAACTTCGAGCATCAATTTCGATTACCCGGACGAGGAATTCGATTGGGGAGATCAGGGATGCTGCGGGGTATGCTGTCGGCGGGAGTATTGGTATTGAGGATTAGAAGAAATTAGGATATTTTATTTATTTTAAATAAAAGTGATAATGAGGTGGAAATGAGATGACAATTTTGAAAAATTTAATTTTAATATTTTTAAATTTTCATGTCACACATTTATTGGTCAACTTTTAGAGTTGACCACCACGTAAGGAAAAATTAACAGAGCTTGACGAAAAGTGACTAAACGTGAACGGTTTCAGTAAACTGAAGTACCACCGTAGACAAACTTGAACGTTTTTTTTTAATTTCAGTGACCAACCATGCAATTAACTCGTTTAAATAAGTCAGTAGTCTTTATTGACTTTGCGTTTTAACCAGACTTAGTTCTTTTCTTCTTTCTTTCTTTTCGTATCATTCCAATCACTAAAATAAAATCTTCGTCAAATAGCCTTTCACAATTCACTCAAAAAATTAACAGATAGTACTTTTCTTATATAGGAACTGATAGGTACTCTTTTAAACCAACTATGAACACTCAAATTGACTTATTCATTGTTAAAGTTACCCTAAATGAAATTGTGTTTGAGGATGCTAAGCACGCTCTCTGTGTTAATTTTGGTGAGTGCATGACAAAAATAATTTTCAAACGTTTATGAAGATTGAAGGGTGAGTTTTCTTTAATTTAGACTTGAAATTAAGCACACATATTGGTTTCTCAAGAAAAAGTTGGAGTTGTATAGTTAAGATCTAATCTGGGTTTTTTAAGCCAGATTCATGGTATGTGCCAAAAAACCAATTATTTCCTATAGTTTGAATGTGTAGTATTTAAGCCGCCGTGAATATAATAACATGGTACGAGGTCAAACAATGGTACCTTCCGTTGCAAAGGGGGGCTATATTAATGTACCATGCAGCCACCCCAACATAAACAAATGAACCACAGCGAGCGAAGTATGAATCCCCTCCGCTCCTTCCTCCTCCTCCGGCCAACTCTACCTCTCCTCCTCCTCCTCCTCCTCATTTTCTCATCCACATGGAGCACTTCCTCCACCGCCGGCGACCATAACAACTTCCTTCTCTGCCTGGGCTCTCGAAACACCACCGTCTCCCCCAATTCGGACCTAATCCACACCCCAAACTCCGCCTCATACTCCTCGGTCTTCCAATTCTCCATTCGAAACACCAGGTTCAACGACACCGCAGCTTCCACAAGACCCACAGCCATCATCACTCCAAAGACAATCTCCCAGGTACAATCCGCCGTCGTCTGCGCCCGCACCCATGATGTTCAGGTCAGGGTTCGGAGCGGCGGCCACGATTTCGAAGGCATGTCCTACGTTTCCACCTCTCCCTCCTCAACCCAGCCATTCCTCCTCATCGACCTGATCAATCTCCGAAACGTCGCCGTAGACGTCCCCTCAAAGTCCGCGTGGGTCCAGGCTGGCGCGGTACTGGGCGAAGTCTACCATGGCATTGCCTCCGCCAGCGGGACCCTCGCCTTCCCGGCGGGGATCTGTCCCACCGTCGGAGTCGGCGGCCACGTCAGCGGCGGAGGGTACGGCATGTTGATTAGGAAGCACGGAATCGCCGCGGATAACGTATTGGACGCCCAGTTAGTCGACGCGAGAGGCAGAGTCCTGGACAGAGCCGCCATGGGGGAGGACGTCTTCTGGGCGATTCGCGGCGGCGGAGGGAACACCTACGGAATCGTCGTCTCCTGGAAAATAAACCTGGTTACCGTTCCCGCTCGATTGACCGCGTTCACTGCCGTGAGAACGTCGGAAGAGAACGTGACGAGAGTCTTTGACCGATTTCAGCACGTGGTGGACAAGCTCCCCGACGATCTCTCGATCCTGCTGACGCTGAACACGGTCAATTACTCCACAGCAAAAGGGAAACCCACAGCCACGATGCAAGCTGTATTCCAGGGTCTGTATGTGGGAGAAACAGAGACTCTGTTGGGGGTGATGAAACAGAGCTTTCCGGGGCTAGAATTAACGGGACAGGACTGCAGAGAGATGAGCTGGATCCAATCGATCCTCTACTTCGCCGGGTACCCAAATAACGCAACCTACGACGAATTGTTGGACAGCAGGAGTAGCGCCCCTGTCCAATTCGACAAGGTGAAGGCGAAATCGGACTACGTGGAGGCGCCGCTTCCGGTGAAGGTGCTACAGGGGATTTGGAAGAGGCTGTACGAACTGGAATCGGGGCCGTCGTTCCTGCAGATTATTCCTCACGGAGGGATGATGAGCCGGATTTCGGATTCCAGTATTCCGTATCCGCACAGAGCCGGGAATGTATACAAGATCCAGTACTATGCGGTCTGGTCCAGAGAAGGGAAGGAAGTGGAGAAGAGGTATTTGGATTGGATAAGAAGGCTGTACGAATTCACGACGCCGTACGTTTCCAAGAACCCGAGAGGCGCGTACGTGAATTCCAGGGATCTGGATTTGGGGAGGAACAATCTGGGGAAAATTACGAGCTATAGGCAGGCGCGGATTTGGGGGGAGAAGTATTACAAGCATAATTTCGAGAGGTTGGCTCGTGCCAAAGCAGCCATTGATCCTTCTAATTTCTTCAGGAATGAACAGAGTGTGCCTCCTTTCACGGGGTGATGAACGGAACCTGGGCAGAGAGTTTAAAGCTAGCGTAATGATGGCTTGAGCCCGTCCGCCCGCTGCTGTGATTTTTCTTCTATTATTCTTCTGTTTTTTTTACTTCTGTTGCTGTAATAAAACCTTTTGAAAAATACTGAAATTGTTAGATGAGTAAGACCACTGTTCATGTAAAAAAAGTAAGATATAATGAAGTGATTATGCTGTGAAATACTGAAATTATGAAAATTCATATGTATATTTCAATGATATTATACGAACATGTAATGTAAGAATATAGGATTTGATATTCATGTGTAATAGGAAAGTCCATCATTCTTGAAATTCCTTATGTTTGAGATTATATGAATTATGAGGATGGAGGTTTGGATATGAACTCCACGCATCGAAAACAAAGGGATGTATCCTCAATATTCGGCTGAAAGTTGGGTAGTATCCGGAATCTCAAAATTATAAATGTGTTAATGACATCTTAATTACCTTGTGATATAAACAAAACAAGTTAGCATTGATTGAGAAATCACAACGGATATAAAAAAGGACTAGTAAGTAGCCAAAAGTATAAACTCATCACCACCACAACGTGCAAACCCTAGCTCCTTTTTCTTCGGAGCGGCGATCTTCTCCCCTGTGCGACCGGATTTCTCCTCCGCCATAGCGGCGATCACAAATGGCGACCGGGACTCTGGGGTCCAACCCCTGGGGTTTAAACCACCTGATGGCAACGCCGGTCTTCGACGACCATTGGCGAAACTATCTTCCCCAAATAGTATGACAGATCGTGAACCCCAGCACACAAAAAAATGTGCAAAACCAATGAGTGACAACCCGTTGTTTGATTATGAAGAGATGCTCACTGACGAGCAGCCGCAAGAGAGTAAGAGCTCTAAAGAGATCCCTAGTACGAAACCAAAATCTGCATGGACGGGAGGTTCGAAGAAACTCTTCGACGGATCTACCCAGCATGAAGAATGGTATGTTGCAGAATCAGACTCCGAGGATGTGGCGGAGGCTATGCGTGAGGATGATTTGGATGATGAGGTCCTGAGGATGATGATCCTCGTTGCCATACGATACCTTTCAAGGCAATGGAAAAGCAACAGTGGTGGTGTCAATGGAGATCCACCCTTATAGTTAAGGCCCTTGGTCGTACCTTCCCATTCTCGGTGATATCTCGGCGTCTAGAAGCCCTTTGGGCAAAGTGTGGAGTGCTCCAAATCTCGAGCCTCACATATGGGTATTATGCAGTGCGCTTCTCAAGCCAATTTGACTACGAGCAAGCAACGACGGGGGGCCATGGAGGATAGGAGACTATTACTTGACAATACGTCCATGGCGTAAAAATTTCAATCCAAAGGAAGCGGAGGTTGCATCCACGATGGTATGGGTGAGACTCCCAGGCCTGCCATCGGAGTTTATCAACAAGGAGGCCGCGGAACGAATTGCAGGAAGAATAGGCCGACCGATCCGTGTAGATCACGCTACACAAATAGGCGAGAGAGGTCGTTTTGCTAGAGTTTGCGTGGAGGTTGATCTGTCAAAGCCTCTCCTCTCGCAGTACAAAATCGAGGGTATTACCTACTACATTGAATATGAAGGTTTGCATCAAATTTGTTCGGAGTGTGGGAAGTATGGACACTCCAAGCAAGCATGCCCTACCATCAGAAAGGAAGTGGAGAATGAAGCTGAAAGTGTAATGTTGGAGGGGATGGAAATTCCAGTGCAAACTCCAAAACCCTTGTACGGGGAGTGGATGATGGTCAAACCTAGAGGTAAGGCCAAAAAACAAACACATAATAACTCGGGTGATTCTGCAAATCCCTCACAAATCCCGCAGGAGAGGAAGGCCAGCCAACAAAAGATGGCGGGTTAGGGGGGTTCTCGTTTTGACGTCCTGCATGATGAGTCTGAGCAGGTTGAGGACCCTACCCCCAGAGAAATGGGCAATGAAACAAGGTATCCACAACCCAAGTCTACTACGACGCTAGTGAATTCTCCAGAGTCAGTACAACTTGACAAGAATGGATCAGCGGCTTATTCATTAAAGAATGTGACTCCCGGTGTCATTTCGAACCCTGGAATAGGGGAGGCGGGAGAGGATCCAGTAGAACATTTTGTACTTGGTCGAGAGGCTGATAGTGGAAAGCAAGGTAACAACAATCACTCTGATAAGTCCCTTAATACCACCAATCCTCGGAAAAAGATAGTAGTCGCCCCTCAAGCAGGTGCGAAGGCAGGGAAGTCAACAAACCCAAACTCCAAACACAAACAACGTGATTCGGAGGTGATGGACAAAGAGAATGAGAAGTACAAGGCCATTAATGGGATGGCAAGAAAGACAACTGATAAACAAAAGGGCGCAGGGAGCCTATCCCCTTCGAGTTATAGATGAGAATATTGAGTTATAACTGCCGCGGGTTGGGGAGCAAGCGCGCAGTTAAATCGTTGATGTCGCTACTGCGGCAAACGTCCTCGGATATGATTTTTTTTTATGGAAACAAAACAGATGGAAGATGAAAATGAGATCACACAGCTAGAGATGGGTTTTGGAAATGGAAAGAGCTGGTCGACTGATAGATCTCGAGGTGGGAGAGCTGGTGGTGTTAGTCTTTGGTGGCGTGAATATCTTGATGTCCAAATCATGGCCAGGGATCTACACCATGTTGATGCTAAGATTACCGACAAGAATTCTTTAACCTGGCGCTTCACTGGAATATATGGATGGCCTGAAGATGGAGATAAATACAGAACTTGGGAGCTATTGCGATATCTATCCCAGCAATGGGACGGACCATGGTTATGTGGCGGTGGCTTCAAACAAATCCTCACTAACGAAGAGAAAGAGGGTGGTCGCGCACAAAGTGCGTATGAAATGGCTGCTTTCAGTAATTGCTTGCTAGATACTGGTCTTCATGACTTGGGTTATCAAGGGTATAAATTCACCTGGGTGAACAATCGGACTGTAGGAGGCTACATAGAGGAGCGCCTCGACAGGTTCACAGCCTCCATGGAATGGAACGAGGCTTTTCTGAAAGCAAGAGTTAGACACCTAGATAAAGCGAAATCAGATCATCGCCCGATCGTCTGCGACACTAATGGGGAAGATGATGAGGACCCGAAGTGGGGATGGATGTTCCGCTTTGAATCCCAATGGGGGAAACATGAGCAAGTCCCGGAAGTAATAGCTGTTGCGTGGAGTCGGGGAATCCCTGGTGATGCCCTAACAAAAATTGCTTCTTGTAGGGATGAGCTGAATGCGTGGAGCCTACAGGCGTTCCCAAATTTCCGCAAACAGAAGGAGCGCATTCGGAGGGCGATAAGGTCGCTGGAACGAGGAAGGAAGACGCCACAGGTTGTAGCCCAACTAAATCAACTTGAGGCGGAGCTGTTGGAGGTAGAGGTTAATGAGGAAATCTATTGGCAGCAACGCTCCCGGGTTGACTGGCTGCGGGTGGGGGATAAAAATACAAATTTCTTCTAGAAGAAAGCTTCAGCTCGACGAAAGAGGAATACCATCCGAAAGCTAATGGATGAGGGCGGCGGTCTGCATGTAGGCACAGAGCAGGTCCTGATGTGCATGGTACAATATTTCACGTCCCTTTTCCATGCAGGAGACGTACCGGACTCCACCCCTGTATTGGATGCAATTAGCAGACCGGTTTCCCCGGAGCAGAATGAATTTTTGACGCGGCCATTTACCCGCGAGGAGGTGGTGGAGGCCCTAAAGCAGATGGGGAAGCAAAAAGCTCCGGGTACGAATGGTATGTCAGTGTTGTTTTTTCGACGGTTCTTGCACATCATTGGAGATGACGTGGTCGGGACGGTGCTGCAGATTCTTGAACAGGGAATAATGCCGGATCAACTGAACCATACCTTCATCGCGCTCATCCCGAAAGTCAAGAATCCGAAATCTCCAAAAGAATTTTGGCCAATCAGCTTGTGTAATGTTCTCTACAAGCTGGTGGCGAAGGTGCTAGCAAATGGATTGAAAGGCATCCTAGACACTGTGGTCTCAAAGGAACAAAGCGCTTTTGTACCAGGGAGGTATATAACTGATAACGTCATGGCTGCATTTGAGTCCTTTCACTTGATGAAGAAGATTGGTAAGAATAGCAAGGGTGGTCTGTTTGCAGAAAAAATTGATATGGCAAAAGCCTATGATCGGGTAGAGTGGTGGTTTCTAGAAGGGATCATGCGGAGAATGGGTTTTGCAGACCAGTGGGTTCAGTGGATAATGATGTGTGTCCGAACGGTAACCTACTCAGTCTTGGTAAATGGGCACCAGTCAGAGAGTTTCAAGCCCGAGAGAGGTCTGCGACAGGGAGATCCCTTATCTCCTTACTTATTTCTCCTATGTGCGGAGGGCCTCTCGGGTTTTACGAATAAGGTGGCCTCAGAAGGAAGGTTCCATGGTATATCACCGGCAAGAGGGGCGCCGACAGTAACCCATTTATTCTTCGCCGATGACAGCGTTTTCTTTGGAAAGGCTGCTGTTCAAGAAGCGAGTACGTTGAAAGACATCCTCAAAGCTTATGAACGTGAGTCGGGCCAACAGGTAAATTTTCAGAAATCTGAGGTTTCTTTCAGTCGTAATGTTAAAACGCATCTTCGGCTTAGGATAAGTGGTACCCTGTGGATGATGATGATGGACAAGCATGAGAAGTATCTGGGTTTGCCGACTGTGGTGGGGCGCTCGAAAAAAGACATGTTTCAGGGTATTACTGAACGAGTGAGGAAGAAGCTCAAAAGTTGGAAAGAAAGGGTGCTCTCTGTTGCAAGAAGGGAAGTGCTAATAAAGTCGGTAGCACAGGCCCAATTCACTTACGCAATGTCAGTATTCCGGGTTCCTAATATTGTTATTGAGGAAGTGCATAATCTCATTGTCAACTTTTATTGGGGACAGAGGGGTGCAGAGCGACGAGTTCACTGGTTGGGAAGGGAGGAAATGGTGTGCCCTAAGGAGGAAGGCGGGCTAGGCCTGAGAGATCTACATGGTTTTAATACAGCTATGCTCGCAAAGCAGCTGTGGCGGCTACATGAACGCCCAGACTCTATCATCGCCCGCATTATGCAAGCTAAATACCATAAAAAATGCTCGGTATTGGAAGCTTGAGTCGGTAACCGTCCTAGTTTAATCTGGCGAAGCTTAATTAGTGCTCGAGACTTCTTGAATAGTGGGTTACGCTGGAGAGTGGGCAACGGCGCATCTATTCGTGTTTGGGGTGATAAGTGGTTACCCACAACTCCGGTGACTTTTGTTCAGTCAGCTCCAATGGGGCTCCCTGTTGACGCTACGATACATGAACTTATCTCGCCAGATACTGATCAATGGGACGAGACCGTTCTTGAGGGATGTTTCCCATCGGAGGTAGCCGATGTCGTCCGAAAAATTCCTCTACGCCATACGGAGGAGAACGACAGGCTGATTTGGATGGGAAACAATTCTGGAGACTGCAAGGTGCGTCACAGATACCGATTTTGGCTAGAGGAGTTCAAAGCCAGGGAGTACATAGTACCGGTTGGGGAGGTTCAAGTATGGAAAATCCTTTGGGGCCTCAAGATCCCGCCCAAGATAAAGCATTTTCTTTGGCGAATCAGAGACATTCTCCCCACGGGGAATCACATTACTACGAAGAGTAAAAGGTGGGGGATAAGTTCCCTTTTTGTGATCTCCGAGAAACGCAAATTCATATCTTTAGTGAATGTGCTTGGTCCTCTAGAATCTGGAGACGGACGCATGTGGCTGGGTGTTTTGAAGCTCGCCAATCTGAATGCTGCTACTCCTGGTTTAAGGCAGTACTTGAGACCAAGCCGATTGCCGATTTGGAGGACTGGTGTGTGCTCCTTTGGTTTTTGTGGAAAGAGAGGAATGCACAGATGTTTAATGGTATAAAACTTGCAGAAGATGAGATAGCTTCTCGTGCCAAGCTTTTTCATTGAGGAGTATCGGGCGCAGCAGGTGATGGAAGGGATAGTAGGTGATGTTGCCGCAGTCAAGAAATGGCAGAAGCCTAGACACGGATATGTAAAGGTGAACACTGATGCATGGGTTTTTGCAGATGGCGGGATTGGTCTTGGTGCGGTTATTCGAGGTGAGGAGGGGAACTTCATTCTAGAAGCTGCAAAGAAACTTGCAGGGAGGTGGGAGCCGGAAATGGCGGAAGCACTTGCCGCGGAATTTGGAGTTCAGCTTGCTATCCAAAACCATCTCACAATGTTATTCTTGAAACAGACTGCCAAACACTGACAACTAAGTTAGCGGCAGCAGGGAATATCCGCACGGAAATTGGTGTCATCTGCAGGAACATTTTGAAGTAACTTCGTGAGACAGGGCAAGGGATGTGGTAGTATTTACCGAGATATGGAAATCAGGCGGCGCATTTGATGGCTCATGCAGAAACGAGATGGAATGAGAGTGTGGTTTGGGTCGACATGCTACCTATTTGTCTTATTGATCAGATTTTGTTGAACAATGTAACCGCAACTTCTTATTAACAAATTTGATGCAGATTTCTGTCAAAAAATAATAATTTTAGATTGAAGTCATTAGATGGCTTGTAGCTTGATGGTTGAAATGTTTACAGATGATAGGGGGTGATCAACTTGATTCCCACTAAATGCAAACAAAATACTAGTTAATTAGTATATTAATTAATTAATTAATATATTAACGCCTAGTTTTGAGTTACTATTCATTAGAGCATCTCCATCAATGCAATTGCAAAAGAAATTGTATTTGTGTTTTTTATTGTCAACCCAAATTTTTTGCAATCCACATCACATTCATTTCATTCACCTACATCAATGCAATTAACTTGCAATTGCAAATATAATTAAATATTATATTTAAATTATAGAAAATTAAGTAAAAGA